CCTTCCTTCCTTCCTTCTTTCTTTCTTTCTTTCCTTCTTTCTTTCTTTCTTTCTTTCTTTCTTTCTTTCTTTCTTTGGAGATGAGGAGATGAGTTGTTTTACTTATTCTTATCAGTAACTGCGATAATCTTGTGTTACAAGTAGTCAAGAACAGGATGGTACTCCATCTTTATTTTAGATGCAAATTCTAAGCAGAGAACAAGCTGAATTTTATTTCAGCACTGGACAGCATCTTTCATTAAAATGGTACGCTGTCAAGTTTTATGTCACATCTTTTTTTCATCAGTATTAAATGTTCCATAAGGAAATTTCATCTTTCTGCCAATTGATGGAATAGACTCCATTTTTATTCATCACTTGCAAAGTCTATCTATTTGATGCTGCCCTACCATCCCATGCAAGGGGAAAAAATCCTCACCATCCTGGATTTGGTTATGACTTGTATCCTATCATGTTTCACAGAAAGAGAGAGAGAGAGAAATTCTATGCAATTGTTGAAACACTTTTTAAAAGAGTTTCTGCCAGGGCACCTGCAAATTGCCACAAAATGTCATTTTGTAAGAGACTGGGAATGGATTCTTCTTAATTTGTCAATTATGTCTGGAATAGCTCTCATTATAAAGAGGTTTGGAAGTTATCAAGTCACGGCACTCCAATCAATCAGACGCTAACAATGCCTCCCATTTCATTTGTCATCCTGGATCGTTCGAGTCTTTTCTGCTATTTTTAATTTGAGGATTTGTCATATTTGGGCTGGATTTTTTTTTTCTTTTGAAGGTTGGGAGGAAACTATAAAGTACCCTTCTTGTTGCTACATATCTGCACATTTGACATAAGAGAATATTTTCCTGACCAGAGCCAACTGTCCAATCAATCAATATAAATTGAAAGTTTAATCCAGCATTCAGTTTTCTATAGTAACCAGCCAAATGTTTATAAAAAGCAGAAGCTGATTCTCATTCTGTATTGTTCATTATGGGATTTCCTATATAAATCATAAGTAATGTTTATTCATCTGATTATGACTGCACTTATTAATAATTTATTATAATTTCTCCCTGTTTGGTTGCTTTGCTTTATTTGGGATTAAGATTACAAACCAGGTGAGATCTTAAAAACATTCCACTATGAAAGACACATAAAATGACACAATTGCAAATACAAATATTTATACAAAATTGCTCAGACATTAATGCAGTAACTTCTCTTTGATTTACAATTGGGGTAGAACGCATTTTTTACAGCAGTATGCAACAAAAGCATGCAAATTACAAGGGGAGGCTGATGACTTTTTTCTTTTTCTTGAACCTCTTTTTACTGGCGTTTGGAGCAGACGGAGCTTTAATGATTTCATTATCTGGTTGCTTTATCTGTATTCTATTGCTAAGTATCCCAAGCACTGTTTCTACTGGAAAATGTAATACTTAGCATTAAATACTGGTAGCATTTATATAATATAGTATTTATATTAATATAATAATA